TGATCAAATAGCATAGAAAAATAGAACATTCTTTTCTCTATCAGACTATATAAAAGAAAGTTTCTTTAACCTTTCTATAAGGGATAAAAATACCACTGCCACTACTTTTGGTATGCCCTAAGTATATGTTTTGATACTTTTTTCGGGTACCGGAGTACTGTAGTTTTTCAGAAAATAATTTTTTAAGTTTACTCTCGGGTTTTTGCTGCATTTTTAAAAGTTTAATAAAACTTTCGGATTTCTATATACAACCTCGGTTTTGATGTCAACCGATAGAGGACATCAAGATGTATCTACAAAAAATTCGGTCAAGTTTTGACTGAATTACTCCGCTTTGACCTGCCCGATGGCATTTTGGAACAAGAAGTATTTTTAAAAACATCTTGAACCAAATTTCGCACGACGGAAGCATTTTCAAGGAAAAGTGCAAGTACGAAAGTTTTTTAGAATCAGATTCCCTGGAATATGAAAGAAGGACTTTTCAAAATTCATTAAACGCGATTTTTAAAATTTTAAAATTTAGTCAAATTTAATTTAAAGTCCGATTTAACGAATTTTGAAAACTCTCTCATTCATATTTCAGGGATTCTGATTCTAAACAACTTTCGTACCTATACTTTTCCTTGAAAATGCTTCCTACGAGCGAAATTTGGTTCAAGGAGTTGTGAAAATATTTTCACTCGGCTAAAAATTAGAGAAATTTTTTAGTTTTGAATTTTTTGTTAAATTTCCCAGTTTGTAGAGGACACTTCGAAGTATATGTTCTAGAGTTTTTTCGGCTTACTGACATTGTCTGGCTGAGAAAAAAATTAATTACTTAAACAAATGTTGTTAAATTTTTGAGCACGGGGCAGTTTTAAAAAATTCTAATGAACGAATTGGATTCTAAAACTCTTAAGCTTGCCTTCTTGCAGCCAGAGAAATTCTCTATTAGGCGAGATATTGCTTAAATTATTTTGTTATGTCGTTATTTTGCAAATGGGGCTGTAAGCTAGTAGGGTAAGCTAAATAAATCTTGGTGCTAATTAGTCAATAACAGGACGGAAAGAACAAAACTTTTTACATATTTTCTCGCAATAAGTATTCTTCACAGATTTCTCTATCGATCTAGACAATAATCAAGTTTCTATGATGGATGGAGAATGGACAGGAATTCTTTTAATAATAGTCCCTTGTTCAAAAACTTCACAATACTTTTTAAAGTAATTAATTTTTTTTGCAGCCAAATAATGTCAGTTAGCCGAGAAAACTTCAGAACATAGACTTCAAGTATGTGGAGGTTACCGTTGGACTACTAGCAGGCGACAAAATTTAACCGCAATAGAAGACCACCCTTTAGAATTCGACTTGCAGGACAAAATGGAAGACCATCTGGTCTTCTATTATGGGGGGTTGTGCTGAATCTCGTGGCAATTTTAATTTTTGAAAACAAAATGCAAGAACCGAGTGGAAACCCACACGGGGGAAATAACCTATTTTGGGCTATTTTCGTCAAAATTAAACTTCACAACTCAGTTAAAACCGTTTTCTTAATAGCACCTGACTTTCTTTCCAAATAAATCGTCACTTATTCAGTATTATTATCGATCACATATCGTTCATCGTTTATCATCTCTTATCCATTTCCATTTTCAAGAACAACAGAACGTGAGTAAAGTTCATTTTCACGCATGTTTGGGAATCTTTGATACTACTTGTTTTGATATTTATTTAGTGAATATGCAACGACGTCGTCTACAATATACTCTCGGATTTTATCGACAATTAAATAATACTGGTTTAAAAGCGCCCACGTTAACACCTTTACACAACGTGCCAGTTCCACAAATTTTTCCCCAACCGCCTCGTCTATCATCAATTCAACCCTTAATCCAGCGTTTTATCTTTCGTGGCGCGACGGCTAAACGCGACTGGCAGAAGAACAAACCTTTCTTTATCACGAAACATCAGTACAAACAATTAAAATTATCGGGAAAAAATGGTCTATATAAACCATCACAACAGTTGTTAAATGCTTTAGGTCTCGATTTACAATTTCATGATGGAAGAAACCTTCATGAAGCGACTCAGATACAATTTCGAATTATTAAACAAAAAAAAAGAACTTATGCAACAGGAACAACACCGCGTCGTTCAATTGATAATATTTTCGTTCTGTACATTCGTTTTATTCGTGCTGCATCAATTCGTCTGACATGATGTATTGTTTTATTTTTCAGATTTTATTGAGATTATTTTTGTACAAGTGACTGCCAGTCACTTGTGCAAGAATAACATTCTTTTGTTTAATATAGTACATCCAGGAAAAGGCAGTTAAAACCAAAAACGCATAACCTGAAAGTCAATAATAAATGGCTGAACACGTACAAATAATCAGAAAAAAATTCATTCGAGACAACCTCAATCAACGAATTGTTGTTGATTGTTCATTTTCATTCATTGTACGTAATAAAGCGATTATTGGCATATTAACCCTCCGGAGGTGTTTGTGGGTCCTTTTGTGGGTCCCTGCCTTCGAAAGTAGACAAACAGAAGAAATTGAAGAAAAGAGCTGATTGAGATGTTCTCGTTTGTTGCGAAAAAACGTTGTTTATGATAATAGTTGCAATTCTGATGTTCATTCTTCTGCTTATAGTGACTGGAAAAATTATTCACCGATCTTTATTTTTAATTTTTCTCTTCAATCATAATAATTAGAACAAATTAAAAAAATTTGAACAGCTGCAAGAATTTTCAGTTTGATGTAGTGTGTATAAAGGTTCCATTGCAATTTCTGAAATTAGGGTCTCTGTAAAACGAAAATCTCAGCAACTTACGAAAGGTGTCATATCACTAAAATCAACAAAATTAACGGAAAGACACGAAAAATATGCATTAAGGGCTTTTAATGAGTAGAATGCTGTTTTATGAGAAAATCTTGTAGAGAACTCGGAGTCATTTCGTTTTGTTAAGAAATGTTTGCTCTATACGACAAAGTTATTTGTAAATCCTTCTTGGTCGAACTAGGAAAAGCGTTTTTCTGAGATTTTGGTTTTCTATAGACCCTGGTTTCAGCATTCATAATAGAACCTTTATATACTCCACATCAGACTGAAAATTCTTTCAGCTATTATTAAACTGTACTTTTTCAAATTTGTTTTCGGTATTATGGTTGAAGAGAAAAATTAAAGCTGAAACGTTGAACGACCGAGAAAGAGATTTAATCTTATAAGCAAACTCATGTAAAGAAATGTCTAGCAGGGCTCAAGCTCTTCGGAGATGATAGGTCAAAAGCTTGACCACTAAACGACAGCAACCTAACAGTTCACGTGAATGAATTGATGAATGACTAGCCCCAGAGATCAAATCTTATATAATATCTGCAAGAATCTTACATAAGGCAATCGATGAAAATGCGTAAGATATGATAAGAATCTTATATAAGAAACCGATAAAATTCCTAGGAAGGATATAGTACAATTTCATCACATTCTTTAGTGATAAGTACTCTATATTCTACTTTCTTACTATAATCTACTGTTTCATACGTGAATAAAATAATTTTCTTTCCATTTATTTAATTTTTCTATAATAAGACCTTAGTCC